AAAAGACTCCTTCCTGCATTGCTCTCTGTCCTGGAGTGAGGCATGCACAGAGGAGCTGTCTGCAGAGGCTGTTGTGCACTTCCACTCCCCCCCCCCCCTAAACGGACTTTAAATGTAAGGGATTAAGCCGTGGCTAGATACAGATGGCCCGATTCTGCTCAGTTCCACCAGTGTATCTCCACTGACTGCAGTGGTACAGTTCCGCCCCAAAGTCTATCATTCAGCCGAGCAGCCAGCCCCATGCACTGTCAGGTCAGCAATCTCCAGCCTGCTCAGCCAAGACATCTCAAGGCTAGGCAGTGAACTGTGGCCCAGAGCTTCAGCTGCAAATGACAGCCTCACAGTCAAAAAACGGCTCTGCTTCACTCACTCACCCATCAGAGCCAGAGACTTGAGGCCTCCACCCATCCCACCAGTCTCCATGGGTCTGTCTCACTTTGGGGGCTCTAAGGACAGTTACAGCCTGCCTACACAACAGCTGGAGGTGGGATTCCCAGCTTGGGTAGCCATACCCGCGATAGCTCTGCTCGAGTGCTGAAAATAGCAGCGTGGCCGCAGCAGCACAGGTGATTCAGGCTAGCCTCCCAAGTACATACCCCACGGATCGGGTGGATTGGACTCCGGTGGCTAGTCCAGGCTGCCGCAGCTACACTGCTGATTTTAGTGCGCTAGCGTGAGCAGAGTTAGCACATGCACATGTGCCTGAGGTGGGAATTACACTTCCAGCTGCAGTGCAGACATGCCCTTAAAGCCCTAGGTCCCCAAGGTGACACATGGTAACCAGGGTCACTCTGTGCAGCAATGGATTACACAGACACTGCACAAAGATGCCTGGAGTGTGCAGTCACTGTCCATGCATGCTGTGTCGCTCTGCAATGAGGCCACAGCATATATGCAGGAATGCAGTGTCACGATGCAACCTGAATTGCAGCACTGACCTCCTGAGGGGCTGAGGTCAGACCCCCAGTGCTGGATGTCCCAGCCATTCATCTCAGCCATGAAACAACCTGGGGGACATGTCACCAGCATTTCCCTGCCCTCACGCTGGTGGACAGGCGGTCACTGCACAGTACTGGGGGGGCTGCACGTTACTGAGAGTTCTGGAGCCGTGGTTAGTAACTCCCACAGACCATATTACTGTGACCAGTTACAACAGACAGATCCCCTCACTACAGAGCCCCTCCCCTTCAAAGCTTTGGCCTTTCCCTGCCAGTCACTTCGTCTTTATAAGGACATAGGAAATTCCACACTGAGTCAGAACACTGGCACAGCCACCCCCTGCTGTACTGGGTCAGAAGTTCGGCACAGTCATTTCCACAGCTATCCCCTGCCGCACCGGGTCAGAAGTTCGGCACGGCCATTTCCGCAGCCACCCCCTGCCGTACTGGGTCAGAACATCGGCACAGCCATTTCCGCAGCCACCCCCTGCTGCACCGGGTCAGAACATCGGCACGGCCACCCCCTGCCGCATTGGACCAGACAGAACATCAGTGCAGTCCCTGCCATACTGGGTCAGGCCACATACTTGCTGTTGTCCACGTGGTCAGAACTCAGCCTGCGACAGTATCTTGGGTGGGGGGCGGGGTCAGTTCTGACCTGGGTTCCCCTCAGCCAGCAGACCTTAGCCCCTTCCGTCCCCACCTCTGCTGAAAAGAAGGCAGGTGACTGACAAGCTCTCTGGGGGATACAAGAGTCAGAACCAATGCATATTTGATGAGAACAAAGAGTTGTTTAAGGAGAGAACAAGGAGCAAGCACAGCACACAGCACAGGCTGCTTGTGTGAGCACTGGACTTCACTGGATAGGGGAGGCCAGCCAAGACATTTCCTACCCTTAGCCAGGACTTTTCCTGGGTAGTGGTCAGCTGCAGGTCGGACTCCAACCATGCATCCTGCCCTGCTGCTCCCAAGATGGATCCTTTCTCCTCTGCTCCCAGGGGCTGGTTTAGGGCTTTGCCCACACTGCTGGAAAAACCCCTCCTAGGTCAGGAAACATGTCCCCACCCAACCGGTCCATGGAAGCCTCCACAGCCCATCTGAGACTGGTTGCAGTCCCACTGGTCAGCCCTGTGATTAAGGTGTTGCAATCACTTGATCTGATTCTGACCTGTCTGGGGAGGGGACTCACCAAAGTCCTGCTTTCTGCTGGGGACGTGAGGCACTAAGGGCTATCGAGTTTCAATGGCTTCTTACTCAGCAGATAAAGCTTTGCCTTCAGCCTAGGTTTTAGGGCGGTACCTTTCTAGAAGGAATGCCTGGGCCATCAGAATCCTAACAGCCTTCTAGCACTAACAGGACTGGGTGTGCCTCAGTTGTCTCCACTTTACATATGAGATGAGTGTGAAAATTCTCTAGGGTCCAGCAGGCAAATTCACAATTACGACTTAGCTAAAACCCTCAGCATAGCACATCGACCAGGATCCAAGGGCAGCTTTGCTGTGAGAAGTTACCCAAAATTAAACCACAGCACTGGGGAGGGGTCATGTTAGTGGGGGTGACTCCATGGGATACATGTGCTCAGTTAACAAGTAAAGAGATACAGGTTTGTTTTCTAAATAGCTGGCCCTGCACGCTCCCCAGGGATCTGAGGCAAGCCAGGCCCTTCCCTTCTCCTGCATCTAGCCAGACTAGCCTCCAGCTCCCCCTCTCTCAGCTGTATAGGCTCTGCAGGGCTAGCACCAGCCAGGACTCCTAGGCATGGGGTTCTTCCTGAGCCGTCATATTCCCATTCACTAGGTATCCGTAAGAGACAGGGCAGCATTTCGAACTCTAAGGATGGGCTAAGCTGAATGTGGAACAGTCTGAGGAGACCTGACCAAGGTTAGCCCAAGCACTGGAAAACCAGCAAGATCTGAGCATGTGCAGAGCTCCTCCTCACATCTCCTGGAGCCAGGGATCAGAAAGAGGTGGAGGCAGGATTCCCAAGTTGCTGAACTGCCGAGGTCAGCCCAGGGGAAGGCAGAGAAGTGAATAGACAGGTGCTACTTGTTTATAATAATTAATGGAGATATCCCATCTCCTAGAACTGGAAGGGACCTTGAAAGGTCATCGAGTCCAGTCCCCTGCCTTCAGTAGCAGGACCAAGTACTGATTTTGCCCCAGATTCCCAAGTGGCCCCCTCAAGGATTGAACTCACAACCCTGGGTTTAGCAGGCCAATGCTCAAACCACTGAGCTATCCCTCCCCCCATTTCATACAGCCCTGTGTGAAGTAAGGTCAGGGCTAGACGAGGTTGGACTACTGTGCTAGTCCAAGAGCTCTGCAGTGAATCCCGGTAACCTGCACACAGGCCCCTTGGGGGTAGGTTCTGTCACTGCCTCCTTGCCTGTGGGCCTCTCCAGTGACACAGTGAGTCGTAACATACCCTCTACGGTGCTTGACTCAAGCCCAGGAGTCGGCAAGAGACTTGCACTCACACAGTGGGGGGATTCAGAGTAGCAGCCGTGTTAGTCTGTATCCGCAAAAAGAACAGGAGTACTTGTGGCACCTTAGAGACTAACAAATTTATTAGAGCATAAGCTTTCGTGGACTACAGCCCTACAGCACCTGAAGAAGTGGGCT